AAGCTTAAATTACAATTACATTATTACAGCTAATTAAGTAAATAATTATTTTGCACAATTGTGTAGTTGAAACAGCTAACAAATTACTTTAATTCGTTTCAAATATTAATACTCATAAGGCTAACATGGGAAACTCCAGATCCACTGGGGTGGAGCCCGAAAGGATTTTTGAGATAAGAATATGTCTATATGTTAATCGGGTATTTGAGCTACTATCATACAAAATTTCAGCCCAATCCGAAACGTAGTTTATGCATGATTAAACTTCAAACAAACACACAACCTTTCACACTTATAATATTAGTGTGATTAAATACCTTAAAACACAAAGAGAAAATAAAACATTGCGATCATGTTTGCAGCTTACCAAATACCATTACGGTAAATGTAACCTTTTACACTATTAAATATCGATTGCTTTGTTATATGTTTATTATATGCCATTATGATGATTATAGCTGCAATGTTAACTTTTAACTATTTTTACTATGCTTAAAACAGTTTTTAATTTTTTTTTTATCGTATTTTGTTCTACATTTTGTGAAACACGGGGCTAAATGTGATAAGCTGGATTTGATATTATTTATATCAGAGTTTTTTTTTGTTTTAATTATGTTTGAGAATAGCGGTAATACTTAATATGAATGGACATTAAAATTCATTTCGCAACTCCCGCTTTTAAATTAAGACACCTCAAAGAAGGCCGGAAATAAAGTGACATTATTATTAATGCTTCGTTTCCTCTAAAACAAAGACTGTTAATGATTGAAAATTTCAAAAGAGACTTACATTTCCTTATGTATTTTTAGTTTTCATCCGGTGAAATTCATTTAGTTATAATATACAAGACAAATAAGTAAAATATTTTAAATCACTTGAGGTAGTATCTTTGTGTTCATTTGTCCATTAACACTTACTTTAAAATAGATTTGTGAACGTTATGTTGATAAAGTAGATAAGTTTAATAGTAAGAAAACTTTTTAACTGCCCCTTTAAAGACTTTTTAAAAAACTTAAAAACCTATAACTATTATTTCTAATTAGATTCTGGCTTTAAACTAGATGTGAAAAAATTCTAATGTTGTATTTCAAAATACATCAGGTTGGTAAAATAAGGCATGCTTTAATGGTGCATCTGGAAGCTAAAGTTATTAAGTTATTAAAGTGTAGATAAATCTCCATGAAGATTATTTTCAGATTTATGATTATACTTTTGCAATATATGTGTTTATAGTCAGCTCATCCATAAGTTTTAAAGTCGATGGATTATTGAATCCCATTAGTAAACAAATAGCCGCAGCAGAAAACAGAGTGTTGTAAGCTGCGTATGTTTAGATTATCTATATACTTAATGACTTGTTTGTTCAAACCGAGATAAGACTAGCGCTGACCATTCAGGTAACCAGCGATAACGTTGATAAAGTGGCTGTTACTGCGGGGTTAAAATATTATCGCCATCCTCGATAGAAAATACAGCCACTGTAAACAATTAAATAATGTTTTACTCAAGCAAAATTCTAAATACCACGGTATCATAATAGTTTAAATTTTAACAAAAGTAACTTTTATATAAAAGACATTTGCTTGATAAAATATATAATACCTATGGTTAAGCTGTTGAATCATGTCGTATGTTTACCATCAAGTTTTTATTGCTAGTAAAGAACCTTTATTGACCTAAAAAAATTTAGTATACAATAACAAACAGTGTAAATCTCTGGAAATTGGATACGTGTTACCCAGTGGTTGTATACTTTAACGTTTTATCCTATTCTAACTTAGGAATTACCGGAAGGACATTCAAGAATAAACATTTTACGTAAAAGGTTTTATTTCCAATAATAGTAAACTCCATGGTGAAATACAATAGTTTGGTTGCATATTATTATAGTAATAGTGTTTTTATCCTCAGTCTGTTAAAGTTTATAAATCCTCGTTGTTTTTTTATCCTTTTTAGGGGCTAATCCTGAGTTGTAATCAACTATTTTAGTTTAGTAGCAAATACCTTATATTTCATATAATTAATTTATTACACAGCATTTAAACCTTACTAATACTTAACTATGGGGTTTCCGATAGTAGGGCATATTTGAAAGGCTTTTAAATATACATTTTGGTTTTGTTAGATAATGCGTTTCAAATTTGTTTTTGTTCAGTTCAATATTCTATATTAAATGATCTTTGCTCTTTAATTCTATTTTCTTATTTATTTTTTTTTCACGAAGAACAAGAACTGGTACTATTATAAAAACGAGGTTTGCAAACAACTTGAAATATTTGATGAAAAAGTTTAAACACAAAAATTAACATAAAATTTAACAAATTATAAGAAATACTTATTTCTTTCTGTGACCTGGAGATCAACTTCTGCTCCGTCCTCGCCTTTCTTCCATCGAGCCCCTTCAAACACTTTTCCAGTTCCGGTTCCCATTCTTACAACTGAGCCTCTACCTTCAACAACCTTACAGATCTCGGTTGTTTACGCTCTGATTGCTGCGGTCAGCTATATTATGTCTCTTCCGATCACCCTCTCTGACCTTGTTCTAGAATCCAATATATTCCAATATATTTATAATATATATTTCCAATAATATATATTTCTAATATATATTTCCAATATATATTAGTTCTTCAGTGTACTTGGAGATTCTCCATCCTGAAAGGACCGGATTGCAGGTCACTTGAGCTGCTGACTCGACGAGAAGATCGCTGAGATTTTCCGAAGCCAGCTTGGAGTAGAACCACCATTTCGGCATGCTTGCCGTGTTGGTTACAGACTTCTTCTTGCCGCATCCTATTAGAAAGTCCCCCATTTCTTTTCTAGTCATCCATGGGTTGTTTAGGGTTGTCACTTCTTCTAGTATCGCCAGGTCCTCCAAGTGAGTGCCCCAAATCGCATGGGAAACTGCCTGGTTCACGGCGGTGTGATGGCCTTGGCCACATGGATATGTATAAAGAAGCTCTCAGCTTGATTTTAAACTTGTTCTTTCAAGAGTATCCAAGTCTGAAACATCAGTTCTTTTGAAATGTTCAACTACTCTTGCATCCGTTTCTTCTTTATTACCTATGTTTTTAGATGGGGTCAGCGGTACCTAATGTTTCAAGGTCCCAAAAGTTGCCGATGTCAGATGTAGATAAGGTGGATGCAAACATCGTTGAAACGAAGGACGATTTTCTAATTGGTGAGCCTACAACAGTCCAACCAAGCTGGGAGCTTATCGCTACCAACTGATCGCTTACTTTCAAGAACGTTCGTGATGATATTGGTCCAGGCATCAGCTCCAATCAACACATCGATGTTAGTGAGATCTGAATTTGTTGCTGTTGGACTTTCAGTTAAAATAATGTTTTGCTTCTCCAGTGCATCGATTAGATTTTGGTCCGTGAGTTTGGAACTTGACTAAAAATTGTAGGCTGCTCCAATACATTTAGACTCATTTTGTAGTCTGAACTCATGGATTCCAGAGCAAGGGTATAATATGCATGTTGTCTTGGCTTCGTTTTCCTTCCTCCAAGAACTTCTTGTTGGACCAAAACACTTCCTTTAGGCTTGAGACCTAGTTGTCTTGCACATTCTTTAGTTACAAAACTCTTCTGAGATCCTGAATCACACAGTATTCTTACCCTTTTCTTTGTGTTATTCGGACGTAAAATGTGAGCTGAACGGGTCTGTAAATAAGTAACCTAATTTTCTGTTGTTGTTACAGAATTAGTGATATTCTGTTCGGGCTCATTTTTGTTGAATACTTCTGACTTTACATCATAAGTCTGCACTTTCTTGCATAGGACAGTTAAGTGGTTACCTTTGCAGAAAATACACTTAACTTGTAACTTGCATTTACTTACTAAATGACCTTTTCTTAAACATCTTAGACATGCTCCTTTTTCTTTACTATCTCAACCCGTTCATCTATGTTCAAGTCGATCAATGAAAAGCATTCATGTGACAAATGAGATCCTTTTTAACAAAATATACAGTTGGATTTAACAACTGACTCCGGTTTGATATATGACACAAGAACAGCAGCAGAAGGTAAGCTTGTCTTTGGCTTAACATATTTAGTCGTTTTAAATTCTTGTTTACCAACAGTATCTTGATCAAACTTATTAACCCGCAACTTTAATCTCTCCTCTGCATCAACTTCAACTTTTAAGAAATTCAAAAGCTGAACGAGACAATTTTCTGCTTCTTTAGTTGATGCATTGTGTAGAACACGGTGTGTTTCCCAGACTTTAAACACAGGTTCTGGGATAGCTGATTCTACTAAAGGGAAAAGTATTGCTGCAAATTTGTCTTTGGTTACACCCAATGAATCTAATGAACTAAGCTGATCACAGAAAGATTTTCCTCTCTTTTAAGAACTAGAGTTAACAATCCCCTTACATAATATTCAATGAGGAAATTGTCTTTCCCATATTGGGACTTCAAAACATCTACAGCTTTTGCATAGTTTTTTTTAGATGCTGGAAAACCTTCAATGAGTTTTTGAGCAGGAGAATCAGGTTTCATTGATTGGTAAAGGTACTCAAATTTATCTTCATCTTTCAAATTAGTGTCATCATGTATTGAGAAAAGCAAATTGAGAAAACTAAAAAAAAAGATTGAAAAAAAAATTGAAAGATAAAAAAAAGAAATCAATAGCAAATAAAAACGTAATAATGATAGAGTTGCTTAATCGCTGTCACAAAATAAAAATCAAAGACGTATCTTCGTGTTATGCGGGCTTTAGAATCGTATTTGTTTAACCCAAACTTTACTTCATATGAAAAATGTAGATGTATAAATTATCTTAAGAACAAAAATAAAGAAATAAACATTAAAGTAGTTTTAATTAAATGTATATTTTAGCGTACAGTACGAATATATTTTTTTAAAACGTTGGCGGCCTCTTTTAACCCTGCATTTTGCCTATCCACATAGACTACAGATTTGTGCGTGGAACGTATCCAGCAAAGCAACGGGTAAGCCGTTACAGTACCAAGGTGACCTGTACATATAACATGTTTCCGGCAGTGACCAGGATCCGAACTCACGACATCGCTGCCTGTGGCCCGGTGTCCGTAACGCTACCAACTGAGCCACCGACTCACCTAAACATCGCTGCCTGTGGCCCGGTGTCCGTAACGCTACCAACTGAGCCACCGACTCACCTAAACATCGCTGCCTGTGGCCCGGTGTCCGTAACGCTACCAACTGAGCCACCGACTCACCTAAACATCGCTGACTGTGGCCCGGTGTCCGTGACGCTACCGACTGAGCCGCCGACTCAACTTAACATCGCTGCCTGTGGCCCGGTGTCCGTGACGCTACCGACTGAGCCACCGACTCAACTTAACATCGCTGCCTGTGGCCCGGTGTCCGTGACGCTACCGACTGAGCCACCGATTCACCTAAACATCTCTGCCTGTTGCCCGGTGTCCGTAACGCTACCAACTGAGCCACCGACTCACCTAAACAGCGAGCGGTTTAGTCGCGTGTGTAATTCATTCGAATGTAACTAGAATGTAATTAGACACATTATTTATATAGCTATGTTTTTTATTACGTTATTTTATTTACCGATGTTAAATTAGGGGCCGTCACAGAAAATCATATGCAATATATCCCTTTTAGGCAGTCTATCCCTTTATAGTCTTATTAATCTTTTTTAAATCTTCTTTCCAAATAGGACCTTGGACGTAATCTTCCGCCTTTTTAAAATCTGCCTGTAAGCTATTTGTGATTACGTTCTTTTGTTCTTTGAACAGATGAATACCCCTGTACAGGAAATACAAAAGCCTGAGATCTTATTCTTTGTCTTCGTTTGTACCAATAAACACCGTTTTGAAGTATCTCTGAAAGAATCAGTAAAATAAAACGATTAAAACAAGATGTTTCCATTAAACACTATCTGTTATATCTATTTGGAAAATCAAAGTCAAACTGACAATTAAAATATAAAATATAACTACACCATGTTTAGTGGCCCTGGATCACTTGATATAAATGGTTTATATTATATGTCTGTCATTGATCTTATTGTCGTCATCTATGGTGACCTGTTTCGGGATTATAATTTCCTCATCAGGCATGGTTTTATGCCTGGGGAAGCGAGCCGGTCTAGTGGTTAAGCGCAGGACTCTGGTTCCTGAGGTCCCGGGTTCAAATCCCACCAAATCACCAATTGATTTTATCTAAGTGATAATGCCGTAACCCCTAGGTCTAGCCTAAAGTTATGTGAAAAACAATTCCGGGCTCGTGCCTAGAGTCCTAAGAAAAAAAATGGTTTTATGTCCGTGTTTTTGTGTTCACCAGCGACCTCAATTTGAGTATGATGAGATTTAAACTCAAAACCGGTCGTCATAGATTACATTACAATCACTGACGGACAGGTAATATAAATAATTTATTTATGTAAAAAAATTTAAATAGTAAGCTATCGTAATTTCAGAAAAGTCTTAAGTCTTTTTTTACGAGGGGGCGTCTTTTGGCCGGTTGCTCTCCAACAAATATTAAATGACTTAAAGAAAAGTTATCTTTAATAATTTTGTGTATAAAGTAGAAAATTGTAATCAATTTACCAACCTAATACGATACAGATCGTACGATATGTATTCATGGTCACAAGAAAATTCTTTTGTTGGCATACTTTACACAAACTTTATCCTACTAAACGAATATTTACGGCGTGTTGCAATGTTTTGAAACTGCTTCACTGAGATTCATGGCATTCGAAGTCTCTGTTTATGGATGGAGTGGAAACTTACAACTTTGGAACACGTTTTGGGTATAATCTTCTCCATTACACATGGATCTTAGTTTGCTACTCTATGAAGTATGTAAAACTAGCGAGCATTTAAAAACTTAATTGCACTATTTAACTCAATCAGATATATCCTCCAGTTTTAAGCTATTTACTGCAATGTATTTTAATAATAAGATAAATGCATGTTTACACCATAGCGTGTATAACAAATCTTACTACTTATTGTTTGTACACTCCTGCATATTGTTGTTCGATTGTAAACATGACAACAGGATTGAAATGAAAATGTGTAAAGAGTAAAACAGATTCAAACTTTTGTTTACAAAAGATTTTTTTAAAAGAGAAACAAGGGGTTAGCTTGTACCGCTTGTTCCTACTTTGCCATAGAACTTAGAATTTACATTGTTTGAATTAAACAAATTCGGGATTCATCAAATAAAAACTTATCATACAAATACAATAATACTTGGTTTATTACATATTCATGTTCAAATACGTAAATTTTCAGCAAAATTAAAAGAGTAAGAATAAAAACCCCGAAAACAAACAATTGATTTAATATTCTCTTGATATCTAATTTAATAGCTTCATTTTAAAAATTCATTAAAAAAGTTTGGGCAATTCTAATGTTTTACTATTTTCTTTACAAAAGGTTTTAATTATTTAAAATGATCGCATTGGTTGGCAAGACAAGATTAATTTAGGTCTAATTATTAAAAATAAATTTACTCACTCAAATTGGGGTTTAACCAAACACGTTACATAAAAATAACACCACTGAAAGATTTAACTAATTTCTGTTGAAACAGCAACGAAAAAAGACCGAGACACGTGTCACCGGGCTTATATACGTTGAAGATCAGCTTCTAGAACATTCTACAAAAGATGAATTTTGATTGGCTGAAGCCATCCTTGCCTTGCCATTACATGTCTTGCTCAACTCGACTTGAAACTTGTGGAAATATTGTACAATATGATACAAGCTAATGGCTCTTGGCTTAAAAAATTTTGAATTGAAATAAAAATTTACAACAATGCCAAACAAACATATTTTTTGTGTAAATGATCTTATTCAATTTTTCGTCCGTTCTTTTTAAAATCTCACTTATTCATGAAATAACACAATAATTATAGAAATGGTAATACGGTAATGGTAATAGTGAAACAAATGGTAAAAAAATATGAAAATTGCAACTATTAACTCATTATAATAAAAATGCATCAAAGTGTATATAAACAATAATAATCCACTCACAAAAATAGGGGTTTCCATAGGTAATAATAGAATAGAGTTTGCACTTGCAATATTGGACTTGTATGAGCAAATTACATTGTGAAACAAAAGTTAAAGATTCTAATTTTGATATCTTAAATGGAACGTGACGTTTATTTTACAGTAGTGGGTCATTTAAGTCTTCATGATCTTTTTTTAGTTTCGTTTTTTTACGTAGTGAATCGTCTAGGTATCAAAAGTAACTGTAAAACATCAAACTATATAATAAAAAAAATAATAACAGCATTTTAAGATAATGAAATGAGTCGTATAGGTATTTTATCAATATTTTTGGAATTGACATTAATTTGTGATTTCTATATTATTTTGCGGATGGTTGTTGTTAATGGTATGTAATAATATTAATAGTATTCCAAAAACTATCCTCAATTTTCTCTAATTTTATTTAGTTTTCTTTTGCGTTTAACTATACTAGCTGTTACCCACGGGCGTTACCCGTTTGACTTCATAAGTAATAATAAAACTATTGATTAGTTAAGTTAAGCTAAAATAAACAAAACAGAATGTATAGTCCTCGCCACCCTAAGTTGAGGCAGCCCAAGGCCGCATGGCGTATATCGAGTGCGGCCTTTGGCTGCCTCAACTTAGGGTGGCGAGGACTATAGTAATACAAACAAATAATCACACCTGATTTTAATAAGGTAATAAATTCTAAGAATAACAAACTAATAAGTACAGATGAGGTATTTTTAACATTAGGTATATGGAAAGTTCCCTTTAGAAAGGAATTATATTAAAGGGCAATTAATGAAATAATGGATAGTTTTGCGCAAGGTTTCTCGTCATAACGAACATTTTAAGTATGTGGTTTATGGGGGTGTTACTTGTAGTTTTCTCATAAGTTTATGGGTACTTTGGGATTTATATATGGATTTAGATTCATTTTGCATCTCGTTAGTGCGACATGTTTAAATAATGCCAGAGTATACTGTTTGAGGACGTAAATCTAACAAAGACGTAATGGAACGTAAGCTATTTTAGGAAGTTGCGAATGAAGTAGGGTGAACTGTACAGAATCCAAATAGCCTGTCAATACAGGATACCAATATCGTTTTTCAGCTTACAGACTCCAGCTTTTGTATAGGACCGGAATTGTGAGAAGTAATTTTTCCTCACTGAACTATTCCCTCAGCGACACAGGATATTTATTTTGTTTGAAATTGGTAACTCAAGTAACAACAAAATCTTCTAATTTAACGATGATAAGGTGTAATAATACTTCTTTTAAAATATGTAACATTTTATTTAGTATTTTATTGTCCATTGTGCTGACACGTTCTTTAAATAAAGCTGAATTTAAGAAATACAATCAACATTTATATGGACTCTGTTTCGTATGTGGTAGATGTTATTAATTATTGAACTACGAAATCTGTTTTTACAATAAGTACTATCGGATACAATTTTTACAACTTTTTTATTACAACAAACAACATGTATTTTCTTGACAATACGTGTATTGTTATTGAAGAGAATGAAACTGTAAGATATGTGGAAAGGGTTGAAGGACTGAGATATAAATACAAGTTAAGATTGTGCTGCAGTGCAGGCTAGGTTATAGACAGTTTGTACTTTGTTTTATGGCCTGAAACTGGTTCAAAGGTGTAAGATTTGAGAGATTAATTTAAGTATGCCATACTCTTACATTATTAGGTATTCGATTGTAGTCTAGTAAAATTTTTTTTTTAATGTTGCTTTGTAAAATATGTTTTGTAATATCTCTTGAAAATATTTAGGCTAACCATAAATCTCTATCATAAATACAGTGGTTGTGCACGTTTGTATGGAAGTTTTATGGATAGGTCTTATGATTTAGTTTAAGTGATCCATTTAGACTATTTATAAAGATTGGTTTGGTACGAACGAAACGGTTGACATTTGAGTACATATATTTAAATGAGTGTCCTTTGTTTAGTATCGTTATCGATTTAAGAAAAACGCTTGGAGTTTTTCCTTTTAGACGACTTAGTGATTTTAAAGGAAAAATCTTATGCTTGATTAGTAACAAAATCTTTCTAATTTCCTTTTAATTAATTTACTTTACTTGAGCTTTTTTTACTTTAATTAGTCATTGACACATATCCTGAAAGCCAGCATACAAAAGCTTAAGCTCAAAATTCGCACAGTACAGTTATTCTTAGGCCTATGTGTTCCTATTATTTTGTTTAATATTTTGTAGGCTACTTTTAGTCTTTAATTATTACACTTAATTCTATCCAAGTAAACACCAGTGAATCGTTTTTAGTCGATTATGTCTAGTTAAAAAGGAAGAGTAAATTATACTGACACAAATAGTTTCAATTAATGTTTATACCTACAGGAGTAAAACAGTTGCTTTAAGGAAAGATTTTTCATCAATACCAATCTGTTGATTGTAAGACGCAATTTTCTGAAATGCAGCGTTTCTGAAAGCATCAGTGTGTGAGAGTATCTGAACCCATTAAGGGATATCGCACAACTTT